TCCGGGATCTCCGGTTTCCTCCCACACTCTAAAGACATGCTGGTAGGTTCATTGGCTCCTCTCTAACTTGGCCCTGTATGCATGTGAGATAGGGACCTTAGATTGTAAGCTCCTAGTGTGCAACTATGTAAAGTGCTGTGTAAATTGTCGGCGCTATATAAAAACCTGTAATAAATAAAAATAAATAAATATATTCCAGCACTGCTAGGCTTGTATGAGCAGACAAAACTAATTTGAATAAAGCCTGGCTTGCTTAAGGACCCATTCACACTTCTGCACTTGTATTCATGTGTTCAGACACTTTAAAATAAGTCAACTCGTTCATTTCACATGTTCTACCAATGCACAAATAAACACGCATGCACTACTTGGCCAGCCCAGTGCATCACGAGACTGGAGCAGACAAAATCTGGAGCAGTTGTGCATAGCAACCAATCAGGTTTATGCTTCAGTTTGTTCAATTAAAGCTGGCGCTACACCATACAATTATGTGCAGATTTTCTATGGTCAGATGGAAAAGGTGCAACAGATTCCTCCTTCTATGCTAAGCTGTGTGGATGGAGGAATCTCCCACCTGGGCCAATCTGTTGCACTTTTTCCATCTGACAACAGAAAATCTGCAGATAATTGTAAGGTGTGTGGGCACCTTTAGATTTGAAAATTAAAGAGCGAGGTTGATTGGATGCCATGCACAGCTGCTCCAGATTTGATAAATTCCCCTCTGAGTATTTACATCTGTGCATTGTACTTAATAATCGGCTAACTAATCGATTTTGAAAATAATCGTTAGCTGCAGCTCTAATTGTGGTGCAATGTAACACAGATGCATTGTGAAATCCTGGCTACTTGGGTGAGTTAAAGGAGAACTATGAGGAGAGTGATTTTCACTCAACCTCATAGTTAGAGCCGACCTGTGACAATGAAGCTGTCACACGTCGGCTCAATAGATCGGGAAGTGAGCGAACACATACTGTTGCTCGCTTCTCGATTATGTCCCTGCAGAGAGCAGTGACTGTCACTGCTCCCTGCAGGGATTCCCCCCCTCCCCTGTCCGATCCTCCAGCGCTGACTGGAGGAAGGGGGAGGGGGTGGGTACAGCTGGCTCTGCCTTTAGATAGGCTAGAACCAGCTATCACTCACGCAGCTGGGTGGATCTCGACAGTAATGTAGTGATCCGTCCCGGCTGCGGCGGTCTCAGTATACTCTGATCTGTAGCTCGGAGTATACTGCGCTTTGGGTCATGCGAGGACATTAGTTTATGTTCTCCTTTGACCCTTAGGAGAACTATGGGGAAAAACACTTACCCCATAGTTCTCCTTTAACATGCAGCCTTATCATTTTGAATTGTTTCCCAATGCAGTGCACCACCCCATGCACAATAGTTCATTACCATAATTCTCAGAGCACTACAACGCGGAGGTATTGTAAATGTGTAAAAAAAAAAAAAATTTGAGTGTGCAGCGCTATTAAAGTGAATAAAGTGTAATCCCCTCTTCGGGTATATCAAAAATTTATATAAATAGGTTACGAACAAAGTTAATCGATCCTAAAGGGTATTGGATTCTGTAGAGTGAATATACAGATTTGATATATATATAGTGACAAAATAATCTATTGTGTTCCAATGGCGGTGAAAAAATATTTGTGAAATGCCACAACATAAACAATTGTTATATTCTTATATCCTCCTGGTGAAAAGAAAGACTGTGCATCAAATAATATCTAAACTTTTGTGTACGGTTATGTTGCCCGTGGACAATACAACTTAAAACAATCCCAACTGGTGATCCATTCTTTATGCAAAAAAACAAAGAATGTGATCGGTGATAAATTAAAAAAGTGAGTCCAGTGAAATCTTCAACACTTGTTTCAAGATGGTAGATTACTAGATAGCTTAACCCCACACCAGCGTGTATCAATGGTGGTAGTCCAACGTAGGTGATGGGGCGGTAGCTTTAGCGGCCTGTGGAAGTAATCAGTTTCGGTGTAAAGCCAAAAGGTGGTGGCAGCGAAAGGGTTGAATCCAGACATGAATTGTATAGGTTCTATGGCTGATTAAATTCAGGTAGGACACTAATTTATTTTAACTATGGAACCAGCAGCATAACCTGTGTAATGAATTAAAGGGATGAGGTGGCACCAGGGAAGCACTGGGAACTTTTGGCCAGGAGGGCAAACTCAACCAAGTGGCCGTTTCATGTTTGCTACAGATTATGGTGAGCTGAAGAATGTGTACAAATGCAAAGTGTGCCCTGGTGCTTTACCGATTGGTTGAGACCTTAGTGCTCCCAAATGTGGCCATTTGCTCACATGACATCTCATAGCTGCAAAGGAAGCTCTTGCTGGAAAACGTCCCTCGACCAAAAGCAGTAATCACAAGCCTGAGCAGGGAACAGGTCCTCCCTGCTCTTCCAGGAACTGCGGGTCCTACCCTAATTAATGTCTTAATGGTGAAGCTTCTTCATTCAGGTCCAAGTCCTTGTCATATTTGGACTTGCTTGGGGGGCCACAATCCCCTTTGCCTTTCAGCGGAGTGGTAGCACTATTGACAGGGCCAGATTTACCAAAAAGGGGCGCCGTGCATGTACCTACTCTGCCTAATTCCCGGTGTTTTGTCAACATACAACATTGGCAATAGCAAGGAGGGTGCATTCTGCACGAAATGCACCCTCCTGCTTCAAGACCAGCGGCGCCTACAGGAACCTCCGGCTTCCGCAAACACAGAGTAAAAGGCCCCAAAGCTGCGTAACACTGCCCTGTAAAATGCCAGTCCAATGCAGACAGGCGTTTAGGGCAGCCTTACGTGACGCCGGAGTCCTTCTCTGCATATGTGAAAGCCGGCGGGTCTCGCAGGAGGTAAGGGCGCTGGCTCAGGGTAAACAGATTTACATTTGTGCCTACAGGCGCCCGAAATGGAAATCTGGCCCTGATTATTGACCCTGCAAAAAATCTCCTACATCCCCAAGAGGAGTAGTTCAGTGCACCTATGTGTACATGCAAATAACTTCCATTGCAGCACAAGAGGAAATGGCGGGTGCACACTGGTCAAGCCCGTCTTGCTCCAGCATCAGCAGTTACTCACAGAAAAAAAAGTCCAGTCGCACACCGCACATTGCAGTGTGCGACCGGACTTTTTTTTTTGCTTTGAGTAACTAAGGGCCCTTTTCAAATAGGCTGATCAGGAGAGTATCTGTGCATGGATCAGATCTGATGGAGGAAAAAACGTAAACTGCCGGACCCCATGATGGTCTATGGGGAATCTGATGTAAATGGACATATGTCCGTTTACATCAGATTGCCCCCAATCCAGCACGATCCAGGCCGGCGAAATGGATCTCTGATCCGTCTGTCTCTCCAGACCCTGCCGGAGGCGGGGGTAACCGGGTGTAAACGGACGCTCGTCCATTTACACACAGCTTCCCATAGACTTGCATTGGGCATCCTATCGGGTCCACCTGAAAAACTGACAGGCGGACCCGACCGGACTGGCCATGTGAAAAGGGCCTTAGTGTGCATGCAATTTGTTATAAGCCCTTTTTGGGTCTATATATACATAGATATGTAAAGAATGACCATAAATGTATCCTTATTTGTATTGGATTTTCTTATAGATAGAAGAGACCATATTTACATAAAATTAACAAACTTATTCAATAAACGTTCTTATTCTTTAGTGCAATTATACAACAAACTCTCTGAATGCTGAGTGATACAAGATGAACCTTGTTTGTTTGTTATAGGTTAAAGGAGAACTATGAGGTGAGTGCTTTTCACTCACCTCATAGTTCTAGCCGACCTGTGACAATGAGACTGTCACTGGTCGGCTCAGTAGATCGGGAGGTGAGCGAACACATACCAGGTTCGCTCACCTCTCGATCCTGTCACGGCTCTCTGCCATGACAGGGGAGGGGCTGGATTCCCCTCTCCCCGCTCCGATCTGCCAGCGCTGACTGGCGGAACGGACGGGGGAGGGTACAGCTGGCTCTGCCTCTAGATAGGCAGAGCCAGCTGTCACTCACACAGCTGGGCGGATCCCGTCATCTACGTCGGGATCCGCTCCGGCTGCGGCGTCTCAGTATACCGCGAGCTGTAGCTCGCGGTATACTGAGCTTAGGGTAACGGGAGGACGCTAGTTTGTGTCCTCCCGTTACCCTAAGGAGAACAATGGGGGAAAAACACTGACCCCATAGTTCTCCTTTAATGCACCTACAGTAGTATTGAACCCTCCTCTTGTTTGGCTGTACCATATTCTTGTGTATGTTGCAAACATATATTGCAGTGTGTTTGCAAAACATCTGAATTGGTGCCGACACTGTCCTTCCTTCCTTCTGGAGGGTGGCTGCTTTTGTTCCCCACGGTCCAGGTGTGTGTTGTAAAGTAGCCACCGCTCCAAGCTTGTTCCCATGATGGACTACAATCTCACGTTTAGTTTACTCATTTGTTTTGACATTGTAGTCCATCACAGGAGTGAGCTCTACTTTACAATACACACAGGGACCATGGGGAACAAAAGAAGCCCCCCTCCAGAAGGAAGGACAGTGTCAGCACCAATTCAGATTTGAGGATCTACAGTCTAGCGCTATATATGAGGACAGTGACAGCATGAATTCAGAGATGATTTGAGGATCTACACCCAAGTGATACACAAATAAGATACATTTCTGTTAATCATTAAGATACTTGAATCTATTTTTAAGATTTAACTCCTGAAATTAGTGTCACTGTAATTTAACAAACTGAAGAGAGAAGCTGCAACTGCTCCAGATTCTGTCTGCTCCAGTTTTGATAAATCCCCCTCATCGTTTATTTGGTGCATGTCACGTACTATCACAGAAATGTGAGAACACTAGTTTATTGGGCCTAGTGTATTAGTGAAGACAGTGGAGCAGAACCTACTGTAGACTTGTAGCAGGAGCAGCTTTGTTTGCAGTAATTCCTCCTGAGCGCTGGGTGGCGCTGTGACCGGACTCCCGCCTTCCCCTTCACTAGCAATCCTTTAACAGAGTCTCCGGGAGTGAAGCATAGAGCTGAAATGATGGCAGAAGGGGGAGCGGAAACGGAGGCTGAAGTGAGGAATAAACTGCAGGTACAGCTCTTGTCGGAGGGATAGCGGGCTGTAAACAAGCTGTGGGCGGGCTATGACTTGAGTGTGTGAAATGCTCCATGCTGTGCCACCTGCCTCTATGTGTGTTCTTATTCCTCCATGTGTGTTCTTATTCCTCCATGTAGTTACAGCGTGGGAGAGTCAAGATAGTGTGATGTCTGCCCAGTCATGGACATCGCTATTGTATATGTGTGTGGAGTCCACGTGGTGCTCGGCAGATGTGACTTCTCTCGTACACTCCACTAATCATGGGCAGTGTGCCTGCCTGCCTGGTGCACCGATCACTCTGCAAGTTTACACTCACTTCTGCCTGGTGCATGTTGTCATAGCAACAATGCTTGTGGACTCTCATGTAGTCTCCATCCATGGTGACCGTGTATAAGGTGTATACTCCCTGCTGGATTTTATGGACTAAAAAGATGTTTATCATCTATATACGTTTCTCATGCTCCATAGTCACACGTGGTTTCCTCCCTTTTATGTACTGTTCTGTATTTTCCCTCTGGATCAGTACATTGGTATTTTGCACCTCCAGACTTCAGTTCAACATTTTTACACAGAGAAATGCTTAAATAACTTTCAACCCCAGCTAATAGGTATCCTATTGACAGTTTACAAGACATTGCACAGTAAGTGTTGGATAAAAGAACGTGGCATACTTGGTGTATTTGGTGCTTTACAACAGTATTACTGTCGGGTACAATAATGAAATGAAACTGCTAATGTTCAGAGAAGAAATGCAGATCATTAAACTGACACTAAACTCAGGAGTTAAATCCTAAAAATGCATTAAAGTACCCAGTGGTGTATTCTGGTTTTGTGCTGCCCTAGGCAAGACTAAACTTGCCCCCCCCCCCCAATCTACATTTGCCCCCCCTCTTCCTAATCCATGAAGCTATGAGCGTGACACCATGGATTCAGCGAGGAGTCTGCGCTGAATTAGAGACCGCCACCGGCGCTGAAGGGACTCCTGAATACAAGTGGAAGGAAGAAGATGATCGGATCAAGAGGCATCATTTAGGGTAAGTCCTTAAAGCACCATGGTGGGGGGAGGAAAGTAATTGTGACTTTAATGTTCCTTCTAAGCCTTCGATGATTCAAAGGCAGTGTACAAGAATGTATTGATTCTTGATGGGGATCATGTACCTAACATTGTAGGTGTATTCTGGTTTTGTGCTGCCCTAGGCAAGACTAAACTCGGGTGCCCCCCCCTAATCTACATTTGCCCCACCCCTTTTCACCCTAGAGCCCCGCCTCTTCCTCGCTGTACATTAAAAGTGGATTATGAATGCCTGTGCGGGGTATTAGGGGGCTGTGCGGGGCCTTAAGGAGCTGTGCGGGGTCTCAGGGGGGATGTGCTTCAGCAATGCCCAAGTGCTGATCCAGTGCGATTGCAAAAAATAGTGCATGCATTTATTTCATGCACTATTTTTAGTGATCTCACTGGACTGGAAGCTGGGCATTGCTGTACCATGCGTTCTGGTGCGGACAATCTCACTGTGGGCGGGTTGGGCATGTCTGCAGTGTCATTTACTTGAATGGCACTGCCACGCACCCTCCCACCCCAGTACGCAGGGAGGCTTGCTGTATGCAATCCAGTGCGTTCCGGACCCTAACTGTGCTGGAATGCACTGGATTAGGTGTGAACAAGCTCTAAATATAATGGATCCCAGCACAAATGGCTGCCTGTGGTACAGGTAACACCTGCATACAGGTATATACAGAGGCATAACTAGAACCTTCAAGGCCCCGGTGCAAGAAACCATGAAGGACCCCCCCACTGCCATGGCATCGCATGGTTAACAGAAAGGATGCTGAGGTCCCCAGCAAGCGCGGGACCTCGGGCAGCCGCTTCAGTTTAAAAAAATTTAGTGCGGTGTTCTGTCGAGAACGCCAACCCAGTATCTGGTTTTACGTACAGATGGGATTATCGAGGAAACCGCCATTTATTTACCGTCAAAGTATTTGTTTGTAATGGTTAAATGTGACCGTTAATAATATGGCGTCCAAGGCAGTAAATGAAGGATGGAATATTATTGACGGTCACAATTAACGATTTCAGTGAAATACTTTGTGAATAGATCCGTTTCCCCCGATAATATTGGTCTGTGCGCAAGCACAGATGCTGAGGTTGGCAAATTTGACTACGTTGGCGTTCTCAACAGAACACCGGTATCTACGTTTAGTATCGGGGCATTTTCCCGAGTATAAGTACTCGGGAAAATGCCCAGTATTGGGACTGGTGCATCCCTACTTAAAAATATAATGCATTGCTGGGAGTTGTAGTCCTACATACTTGGTGCTATTCTGCATTGCTGTATAATCCATCATACAGCAATGCAGAATACCACCAGCTATGCAGGACTACAAGTCCCAGCAATACATTGTAATAAAAGTCAGCAATGCTGAGTGCCACCAGCCCCCTTCCCCTTACCACTCCAGACTTTCCTTCCTCGTCTCCCTGACCAGGGGCGGAGCTAAGAGAAGAGGGTCCTCACAAAGCAGAATGTGCTGCCTGGCGGTGCCTGCAGCACATTCTGCGGGACTAGGGACAGCCTTTCCAGCCCTGCCGCACAGCCGCCTGTACATTCTTCGGATGGCAGAGCGGCAGGAAAGCAATGGCGCAAGAAGGGGGGGCCTCTTCTCCCTCGCTGGGCCCCCCCAACAGGGCCCTGGTAGTTCCGCCAGTCGGTATATATAATAGATCGCAGGGATCTCTATACCTGTGTCACACAAGTATAGAGATCTATTATATATACCACAGGCTGTGTGCAAAGATATATTAAACAAATCTGCCTATAGCACACATTGCACTTGCAGTGATCTTTCAGTGCTCCAGTCCACAGGACCCCATCCCCCACTGCTCTGCCCAGTCCCTTACCTTCAGCAGACAGCAGCTGAGCTCCATGGGCTGCCGCTGGTCCACCAGTGTTCAGGTCCCTGGGGGTCTTTGTTGCATTCTCCGGCCGTCCATTTCCACGGCTTTGCTCTTGAATGCCTGAGAGCAGAAGAAGAATGTCCTCGCCCCCAGCCTGTCAGCAGTGAGTATTCTTCTGCTCGGCTCGAATGCGGGAGAAAGTGAAAGTAAAAGCAGCAGCGGTCAGTCATTCCTTCGGCTGCTGCTGCTGTACACCCCCGCGTGCATTATCCAGGCTGGATGTCCCCTCGGATTATAGGAGAGGGGAAACGGGTCACCTCACTGGTTTCGGGGCGGCATTTTTGCCGCTCCCAATGAAAATGCCGCCCAAGGCAAACGCCTTGTTTGCCTTGCGGTGGATACGCCCCTGAAAGTACCCCAACTATTACCAAAAATGTAACTTATTTATGTATCACTCAGCTGTAGATCCTCAAATCATGTCTGACTTGGTGCTGACACTGTCCTTCCTTCTGGAGGGTGACTACTTTTGTTCCCCATGGTCCCTGTGTGCGTTGTAAAGTAGCCACCACTCCAAGCTCACTCCTGTGATGGACTAAGTTAGTCCATAGCGGTAATGAGCTTGGAGCAGTGACTTCTTTACAAAACACATGGGGAACAAACATAGCCACCCTCCAGAAGGAAGGACATTGTCGGCACCAATTTAGAAATGATCTGAGGATCTACAGGCGAGTGATACACAAGCTACATGTTTGTTAGTAGTTAAGGTATTGGATTAATTTTTAATATTTAACTCCTGAGTTTAGTGTCCGTTTAAAAAATTGTAGTGGTCCCATACACTGCTGGTCAGTGAGGAAGGGCCCCCTAACTAGGCAACAACTAATCGATTGCCAACGATTCGCATTATTGATTACAATGATTCTCATCATCGATTAGTTGCCACTCCTCTGTTCTGCACTCTGGTGCTGGCTGCAGAGGTCTGTGTCCCTTTCAATCTCTGCTGCTCTCCCCGCCTGTATCGGCAGAGGCAGCGGGGACACAGACCGCTGCAGCCGCCACCATGGGGAGGAGAGACCACTGTGACTCTGCAATCCGCAGTTGCTCCATTCCTCTTTCTCTGCACCCCCCGTTTCTTCTCCTCTGCCCCGTCTCCTGCTGGTTTTCTATCAATCCCTCGGACTCGAGTCAAAGGGATTGATAGAGCACTGGCGTCAAGTCTCCCATCAGCGGCTGGAAACAATAGCCAGCCTGCTATTGGATACTTTAAATTGCAATAGCCAATAGCAGCCTGGCTATTGCACCCGCCCACTGCCTCCTGTCAGTCAACAGAGGAGGACCTGATGGAGAACATTTTCCTTCAGTCCCCTCATCTGTTGATTGCGCCCGCCTGCTGTCAATAGCCAGCCAGCTATTGGCTTTTGCAATTTAATATATCCAATAGCAGGCTGGCTTGTTTCCTGCCGCTGATAGAAGACTTGACGTTGGTGCTCTATCAATCCCTTGGACTCGAGTCTGAGGGATTGATAGAACAACGACAGGAGAGGGGGCATGGGGGAGCAGAGGAAGAGGAACAGCGCCAGCCTGCTATTGCAATTTAAAATAACCAATAGCAGGCTGCCTATTGCTCCAAGCCCCTGCCTGCTGTGTTGACATTCAGCTGCCTCAGCAGCTGAATCCAGTGAAGTGGAAAGGTTACACTAGTGGTCTAAAAGACCCCTAATGTCACCCTAAAGAGAACCTGTCATCTCAAATGTGCCATCACATAGGGGGCCTGTGAGCTCCACCATGCATTGGCATTGAGGTAAAAAATAAAATAAGATTCCCTCCAAAAAAATTGAAAGTCCCCCAGCCCTGCAAACGCACATATACTTAGGGTTAGTTCACACCAGAAACGGCATCACAACTGCGTGCATCTGCTCAGTTGCATTGTGATCCGTTTTGACGCGTTTGTGATGCTTTTTTTTCCCCTGCATGTCCCTGGATGATGCCACAATCCTGTATTTTTTTTCTCCCCTTTGTATGTGTTCTGTTGCGTTTCATTGCGTTTTGATGCGCTTCGGGCAGTTAGATGCAGGTAAAATAGGACAAGCAGTACTTTTTCTGACTGCATCTGAACAGACTGTAATGGTGTGAATTAAACGCAAGAAAGCCCATAGGAAAGCATTGTGATGTATTTTGACTGCCTCACAACTGCACATGGTGTGAACTGGCCCTAAGAGACACAGAAGTCGGGTGCACCTACATGGAAAACAGACGATTGCGCTGCACATCTCAGGTATCGCCAAGTACTTTATTTTAAATTAAGGACGGTATTTTATCCGATTCTATCGGAATAATAATCGCTAGCTGCAGCCCTAACATTTGGGGTCAGTGTAATGTCTCCATGTACTGGTGGTCCATGAAGTGCTGTGTACATTGGTAGTAAATGGAGAATGATCCCTCTTAGCTTGGTAGTCAGTGGAGAAGGGCCCCATTACAATGGTGGTCAGTGAAAAAAGGCCCCATTACACTGGTGGTCAGTGGGGAAAATGCTCCTTACTCTGGTGGTAGGTGGGAAGAATGCTCCTTACTCTGGTGGTAGGTGGGAAGAGTGCTCCTTACTCTGGTGGTCGGTGGGAAGAATGCTCCTTACTCTGGTGGTCGTGGGAAGAGTGCTCCTTACTCTGGTGGTCGGTGGGAAGAATGCTCCTTACTCTGGTGGTCGGTGGGAAGAATGCTCCTTACTCTGGTGGTCGGTGGGAAGAGTGCTCCTTACTCTGGTGGTCGGTGGGAAGAATGCTGCCTACTCTGGTGGTCGGTGGGAAGCATGCTGCTTACTCTGGTGGTCGGTGGGAAGAATGCTGCTTACTCTGGTGGTCGGTGGGAAGAATGCTGCCAACTCTGGTGGGAAGAATTCTCCTTACTCTGGTGGCGGGTGGGAAAGTACTGCTTTCACTGGTGGTCAGTGGGAAGACTGTCTCTGGTATGTAAAATGATGGGAAACCCAAGCACAAGAACATTATAAGAGATCAAGTTTCCTAATTTGTTCTGGTGATAACGGTGTAAGAGGGGACTTTCCCTTCTTTGGAGAGATCTACTCTTGCATCCTGGTGTGTCTCAGAGTCAAGAAATAACAGGAAATCTTCCTGATGGCACACTGAAAATGGAAAGGGATCTCCATCCAAAACTAAAAAGAAGAAAACTTTGGCCTTTACGTACACTTATACAAAGTATTACCTCTTGTTTTCTGCGGGAAAAGTTTAAATTTCTCTTAGTGTTTTTTACTTTAAAACTTGTGTGACAGCACATACTCTTCAATTCCAATGATTGCCATCTGTCTTACTATACACAATGTTACTGTGCATCATTCTCATTCTTGACATTGAGTTTAACACGCATTTCCTTTTTCAGGAATTTGTAGACAAGCTTTATTATTTTCGGGACCATTACTTTGACACCCACAGTGTGGAAGATGCTATACGTAAACAATATGATGTCAAGCAGGAAATGGATCAAACCACTTTTCTAATAGAGGAGACTGATGGTAATGGCAAGCATGTTTAGGCTTATTGTAATCACTGTTGTGTCTGTTAGAAAAACAGTACTATTTTTATTTGTCTATTGTGTGTCTATTCTTATAATGCAGATGTTTGGAAGAATAAGGCCTTTTTCTTAATGCTGAAGGGAAAAGCTCTCAACGTATCGCCTAACTATTGTCAAGAAGCCGAAGAGCTTCTGTCTAAAGCTGTTAAGCTGGATCCTGGCCTGGTTGAAGCTTGGAATCAGCTTGGAGAGGTGTACTGGAAGAAAATGGATGTTGCATCTGCTAAGTCCTGTTTTTTGGGGGCTCTCAACCATGTAAGAATCCATTTACAGTTTTGTCTCTTAACTTTTTGTCATGTATTTTAATTTCAAAGTGAAGACCTTCAAAAACCAGACTTTTAAACATTCGTGATCAGTGTTCTTATATTTACACTAAATTGCCAAAAGTATTGGGATGCCTGCTTTTACACGCACATGAACTTTAATGGCATCCCAGTCTTAGTCCGTAGGGTTCAATATTGAGTTGGCTCACCCTTTGCTGCTATAACAGCTTCAACTCTTCTGGGAAGGCTGTCCACAAGGTTTAGGAGTGTGTCTATGGGAACGTTTGATCATTCTTCCAGAAGCACATTTGTGAGGTCAGGTACTGATGTTGGACGAGAAGGCCTGGCTCACAGTCTCCACTATATTTCATCCCAAAGGTGTTCTATGGGGTTGAGGTCAGGACTCTGTGCAGGCCAGTCAAGTTCCTCCACCACAAACTCACTCAACCATGTCTTTATGGATCTTGCTTTGTGCACTGGTGTGCAGTCATGTTGGAATAGGAAGGGGTCATCCCCAAACTGTTTCCTGAAAGTTGGGAGCATGAAATTGTCTGAAATGTCTTGGCATGCTGATGCCTTAAGAGTTCCCTTCACTGGAACTAAGGGACCAAGCCCAACCCCTGAAAAACAACCCCACACCATAATCCCCCCTCCACCAAACTTTACACATGGCACAATGCAGTCAGGCAAGTACCATTCTCCTGGCAACTGCCAAACCTAGACACCCCCATCGGATTGCCAGACATCACTCCAGAGAACACGTCTCCACTTCTCGAGTCCAGTGGTGGCGTGCTTTACACCACTGCATCCAACACTTTGCATTGCACTTGGTGATGTAAGGCTTGGATGCAGCTGCTCGACCATAGAAACCCCTTCCATGAAGCTCTCTACGCACTGTTGTTGTGCCAATCTGAAGGCCACACGAAGTTTGGAGGTCTGTAGCTATTGACTCTACAGACAGTTGGCGACTTCTGCACACTGTGCGCTTCAGCATGCTCTGACCCCGCTCTGTGATTTTACGTGGCCTACTACTTCGTGGCTGAGTTACTGTTGTTCCCAGTTGCTTCCACTTTGTTATAATACCACTAACAGGTGACCATGGAATATTTAGTAGCAAGGACATTTCACGGATGGACTTATTGCACAGATGACAACCTATCGTGGTACCACGCTTGAATTTCCTGAGCTCCTGAGAGCGACCCATTCTTTCACAAATGTTTGTAGAATAGAATAGGTCTGCATGACTAGGTGCTTGATTGTATACACCTGTGGCCATGAAGGTGATTGGAACACCTGAATCCAATGATTTGGAGGGGTGTCCCAATACTTTTGGCAATATAGTGTATATATCTCCAGTTTAAAGACCTAAAAACTGACGAAAACCCAGTATACTTTTAAATACATATGTTATTTGTTTCATTTCTACTCGGCAGTGTAAGAACAAGGTCTCCCTACGTAACCTGTCAATGGTAATGAGACAACAACGATCACAAGATGCTGATGAGAATTCCAGGAACATCATGGACAGTGTGAAGCAAGCCAAGCAAGCAGTGCAGATGGATACAAGAGATGGGACATCCTGGTGTAAGTGGCATGTATATGGCAGCCAAGTAGGCACTAGGTCAGCAATACCTACTGATCAGGGTTCTGTTTGTGGCGCCTTTCAGTGGAGAGTATGACACAGCAGTAGTAAAAGGAACTCCAGTTGTTGTAAGTTTTCCTTGCATGTATTAAGGCTTTGCTAAATATATGAAATATTTGCCAAGCAAAGCAGTAGATACATGCAGATAATGATGTCTATACTAAAGTATCCTAATCCTTTAATAGTGTATTGGCCATGTTTGCATTAGACCAAATTGTTCTGCATTGTAGTCTCATGACTTCTCAAAGGAGATGAATGCAAGCACACCTATTAGACAGTCAAGTTGGTGAGCTCGATTTTCTGCGCTGCAGTTTAGTAATGACGTTTGGTTACTGATGAATTCACAGCTCACTGATTGGGCAACCACAAACTGTCTGTGCGCTGACTCTGCTCCCCACTTCTATAAGCAAGCTTTCAGTGATGGGCTGACGGCGCTGTAAATTGCAGTCAAGTCCAGTTGGCTCACAGTGCTTCTCCTCTCTCCTCCAGTCTGATCCTTACTCTGCAGGGATTTGCAAAAAGTTAATATGAAGACAATTTCTAACATGCATGCTGTTTTAAAGAAAATCTATTTAAAATATATGAATGAACTATCTGTGAAAAAAAAAAATATGAATGAATGCATAACTAGCTTCAGTTGTTTTATGTCTCCCTAGAGTCCTGCGTTTATTCTCAGGGTGTTAGCTGTACGTTTGGATTCCCCTGTTTTATGCTGGCACATACTATTTTGACTGTACACCTGTAAGAGAAGGCAATGATTTGTTCGACCATTTTTTTTATCGCAGTGCTCTTTTATTGGTCCAGTTTATACTGGATGGATTACATCTCTTTTTGGTCTAAGAATGCCATGGCAATGGTTTAGGGATCTTCAGTCTGTGGCCAGGCAAAACAAAGCCTGATGTCCTGTTATACTTCTGTCCTTCAGCCACCACTAGAACATGCTAAAAATTAGGATCATTTTCTGTGACTGTATAAAAGTACTAATGTGACTATATGAGAAAGCATATGTCTTTGTAATATCCCCTTCACACACTGTATCGATGTACCCCAAAATCTAACGGGTGGATGGCGCCACAATATACAATCTAGAAGATATGTTGTCCGCACACCATTCTGCTTCGGAATGTCCTTTTTATTCATATTCCTTTAGTGTGACATGTGAATGCAACATTTCGGAACCTCACAGGACCCCTTTATCAGGTGTCAACCAGCAGGATACATTGCTTGACTGAGGGGTCCTGTGAGGTTCCGAAACAAGGCTTTCACATGTCGCGCTACAGGAATACAAATAAAAAGGACAATCCAAAGCAGAATGGTGTGCGGACAATATATCTTCTAGATGAGAAAGCACTCCTTTTGCAATGGGGCAAGCAGAGCCCCACTGATGGGAATTAATGTATGTGTTGGTGGGGCTGGTCTTTGACCTATTCTTTATGTGACCAGCCTGTACTCCCATTCACAGAGAGCTCTCTGTAGCATTATGCTGTTAGTGGGGCACCACTGGATCCACACCTTAAAGCTTGCATTGTATGAATGATTCCTTACGCGGGTACAAGGTGTCCATAGTCTGCTATAAATAGACTCTGACATTTTTAGAGAACTTTATGATCAGAAGACCAAACAATATACTGATATCTATCTTCATGGTTTACACTGTAATTTTTGCAATTTGCTTTCTCAGATATCCTGGGCAATGCTTATCTCTCTCTGTTCTTCTGCACTGGACAGAACCCAAAAATTTCTCAGCAGGCTCTGAATGCGTATCTGCAAGCGGTGAGATTGCTTTTTATATGTATTTGTATTCTTAATATATAATTTTGTACATACAGTTTAGTAATGGATATTTATTGTGGTCAACCATATGTGATGTATAACCAGACTCTGATAAGTCTGCTCATACATTGTCACATCTATGAAGTCACTGCGTTCCAGTTCTCAGGTCTGCCCAGCAGATGTTACAGGGGGTCTCAGCCTCACCGTTGTACCTTTTTATTGACTCTTCCTGCTTCAGCAAATAGAATAAGATTATTATTGTATTATTATTATACAGGATTTATATAGCGCCAACAGTTTGCACAGCTCTTTACAATATAAGGAGGACATTACAGTTACAATCCAAGTCAAGACAACGTGGTAAGGAGAGCCCTGCCCGTGAGAGCTTACAATCTAACAGGGAGGGAAAGATTGCATATTTAGGGGTGGAACAATCGGATAATCATGGTGGAAATGTCTTTTTGCTGGACATGCAGATAAGAAGCCAGTGGGTTATTCAGCACACCTTCATTTGCAAATAATCAAAATGTCAAATTTATTATGCATGCTTAGTGATGTATTTATAAAACATTCGCAGAAGCATTAGTGCCAAACTGCATGCACATTTGTTCTGTGCAAATGCAAGACAAAAATATTTTTGGTATAATTTTCTTTCCAGCTCTAATGTAATATCAGGAAAATACCACATAATTGCAACTAGGTGCAGCTGGGTAGCATAGCAAATAAATACGTCTTTCCTTTCTGCTCCTCAGCTCCATCTAGTGGCCATAATGTTGTATTTTCCTGACATTACATTCAACTTCGAAAGATAATCTACTAATAACATATTTGTTTCTGCCTCCTTTGGCACAGAACAAATCTACATGCAGTTTTGCAGGACAACTGGCTCTGTGACTTGTTTTTACAAATACACCCTTTAGAGTGGGGAAAAGTTTTGGTACACATACAGAAATATTGTAGACTGTTTTACTCAATTGATTACTTTTACCATTTAATTTTTACTTTTTTTTTTTCCACTGCAGGAGAGAGTTGACAAGACCGCCTCCAGTAACCCAGATCTGCACCTCAACCGAGCAACTGTAAGAGGTTAAGTGATGTGAATGTGAACTTAGGATGTTTTACATATAATCCTGTATTATTGTATGTGCCTGGTAGAATGTTAAAGCTGTGGTGATATCCATGGTAATATTAGTTACAGAGAAAGAATAACTAGATTTCATTGTTATATTTATAAAAGTTGGAATAAACCTCATCTGAGCTTGTTATAAAGCTTTTCAGTGACTAGTGAGGCCTGAAATCCGTCATAAACCAGATTTATTTGCTAGTCTTTTACTGAGAGCGGATACTATTGTATATTAAATGGTGAATATAACAAATTATGTATAGGGACTATATATTAAAGGTAATGGAGATCTCCATTAAATATAATACAGGGGACATGGCTTCTCTAGTGCTTCTGATTGTCACTCATATTTTATCTGTGCACCTAGCTTCTCTTCCTTCCAATACCCTGTAGTCACCCTGGTAAGTTGGTCTTCTTGAGGTCCTTGGTTCCTAGCTTCTGAATAAACAGGTCAACGAGTCTTCAAATCCTCCTTATGAAAAGATAGATGCACACTAATATAATATAATCTTATCCTAAATGATTTTTCAATGGCACAATAAAGCATTTTGTCACTAAAGGGTTTATGTCATACTGCTAAGCTGTTGGAAATGTTTGTGTGTAGATGAGCTCTTTTGTATTGTGAGCAGTGGAGAATCTTTGTTTGATGCAGTTTTTTCCTGCCAGTTGTGTAAATATGAGGAGAACTACCAGGGAGCTCTGGATGGTTTCTCACGAGCCGCTGCTCTGGAACCTTCGTGGACTGAACCAGTGATGAGGGAAGAACAGCTGCTTGATTATCTGGGCAGGCTGTATGGCCTGCTGAGCAACAAGGTATTGTCACTTAAACCTCACTGTGCTTTCTCATCACCTTTATCATTTGCTGCAGGTTTTTTACATTTTTTTTTTAATTGGAGCTGTTTTATAGGAGGACTCGGAGTCCCTTCTTCCTTTTTTCTTTTTGTGGGGGGGCAGGGTTGCATGGTGCACTCAAATGAGACATCTCTCTATTCCTCAATGCAGTGGCTTCTTTTACTTGTCATTGTTTTTTTGTTGATCTGCTTCACTCATATTTTAACAGGGAAAGATACGTGGAAAGCGACTCCAGAACATGCTGAGTAGTTTAAGTCCTGTTCTTCTAGGTCATTATGGAGGCCTGCAGCTAAAACCACTTAGTTCTCTACAGCCAGGAAAAAATTCTGGCTGTGTGGTTCTCGGAAGGGTTGTATTCAGCTTAATGCCTGAGGAACGGGTGCCATTGTGAGTATACCATCATCCACATGCAACATTTATATATTTAGCTGACTGAGCTAAACCTGAGGTTATTGTAAAATGACAAAAGCAGTAATTAATTATAAAGTAATTAAATAATAATGTAAGCTGATCTTAGAGAAATAACTCTCTGACTTACTGCACTTGTCTTATGATGTGTGTATTGGAGTCAGAGCCTTAGAATGACTGCCAGACAACGAACATTTTTCTAAGGCGGTCAACTGTTGTCATCCCAGTATTTCTATTGGAATAGGGTTTCCTTTAGGACCATTTTCTATGATTCCTTGTAAAACATCTTATGGCCCTGGCTTTAGTTTTAGCTAAAGTTTGTCTAAGTGTACTAACACTTGCTTGAAACTATTGATGATAAAAAGTGATGATTTTTTAAAAAAAAATCAGATTTTATTTTATTTGAAACCTTTTTTTTTTTTTTTTTTTTTTTTAAATTAATTTTAATAAAATGCTTTTTGGAGTAAAAATCTATCTAGAGATAGTTTTTCATTTAAGATACATTAATAATTTAGTCTATTCAGCATGAAATGGAGCTTAGTTATGTAGCATGAGGCTGTATATTCTGCAATATTTAAATTTTTCATTCAATGAATCCAGGCTCTGCAAGCTAAGGTAACATGCACTGCATTGATAAATTAGTAAGCATCGATGTTTAAGCAAATACAATAATATGCAACATAATGTTATTGTTTTAATTAAATAAAAGAATGAGTAGTTCTCCAACTATGTGTGATTAACCTATTAAACTCAAAAATCGGTTCTGATATCGCTGTTTTACTAGCCTGACAGCTTATTATTCTAAAATAGGAAACCTTTATTTTGTTTGCAAATAATAATATTAAAGATTCTTACTACTAGCAAGAATGAGTCCTTACATTTAAAGAGCACTTAGTGGGAATCCACTCACCTGCTGCCCGCCATGTCCCTCACCTTGTTGTGTCACTGCTGCATCACCAGCCGTCCCTTTAAAGGGAATGGGACTGCCGGTGAGTCAACAGCGGGTCAGAGGAGGAGCCACTGCAGGACAGAGATGACAGTTGCTCTTTAAAAATTATGATTTAAATCAAGCCTTTTTACTAGTTATTTAAATCGTGATTTCAATCGAAATCCACCCTGCTAGCTACTAATTCTATCTAAACAACAAAAGTTAAATCACGCTGAAAGCTCTGACTTTTCTTTTGGGTGAAGGCATGAAAAAAAATAAGAAAATAAAAATGAAATAATAAAATCTTGAGAGGCATTCTAATTTACTCTTGTATAAAATAATTTTTACCCCCTCACTGCTCTGACACCTGCCAAATAGACAGTATGTGGGGAGCCCTTGACAAAGACCCCTGTGGTCAAAACATATTCTCCTATTCATATAAACTGTGTACAGGCATTTGCTGCGCTGTTAATGGAAAAATAAGCAATAGATGTTACCCCATGGTGGTGCTACTCTACTTTGGAATTGTTACATCTTTTATAGTAGACCACACAGGTCATGCATCCCGGTCACATTTCTGGTATGAATGTATGGAGGGTAAAATGGTTATTTCTGTTACAAGTAGAGAGACTTTACCTCGCTTTTTGCTTTTTGCCTGGTTCCCAGAAGTAAATAAAAAGCCAAGAGGTTGTAACCCTTCTCCACTACATCCTAAAATAAAACATACATCTTGGCTGGAGATGGCCTTTAAGGGTTGTTATACAGAAGCAAATATGTTGCTCTGAATTGCAGTTAGTCTTCACATCCTCAAATGATCCCAGTAGGTCCCAGTTTAACTAAAAGCTCACTTTGAAAAATTCTCCATAGGAAAAGACAACATGTTATCTGTCATTTTCCAGTGACAAAGTACTTGTATAAGGCTAGAATATTGGAAGTGCTGCTAAAGTTGGTAACATTGCTTATACTGCTCTGTGTGTGGACACCCTTCATCTTACTCTACATTAGTTGGAATTAAGTTGAACTCCAGACACGCATTATTGCAGCTCTGTAATAATTTATACATAATTAGATATGTCTTTTAAATGCAGGCAGTGTACGTACCTGAATTTGACCTGGTATCAGCCTCTTACAGTCCTTGTACATCAGGACTGGAGAGTGAGAGGAAGAAGCAGTACAAGGAGCCAATCAGTTTATGTGCTAACAAGAAGCATGCTAATAAGAAGAGAAAGCAAAGTGACAGACGGATGATCTCATCACTGTTTGGTCAAAGCCTGGGGTGTGTCAGAACAACCTGGGCTCAGAGGAAGTAGGTTAAATGTACCTGGCCTTCAGGCTGAGGATATCTAGCTGCAGACAAAAGTATTGCATGAGAAAATCTTTAGACTGAGGCTGAATATTGCAGCAACATGTGGTTTAGAATTTATTGGGTATTCATATTTGGCTGAAGATCTGCTTTAAATATGAATTGTCTTGTTTTGTGATTATTTGCATTAACATTGCTTTTGTATTTTTTTTTTCCATTAGTACATTTGGGCTTGTGGATACGGAGGGGACGTGTTACTCTATAATGGTTTACAACATGGTGGAAAGTTGGGGTGTCTTGATTGCAGATTCTGTGACCATCCCAGAGCCCCACCTTAAACACCACAATGTACAGCATAAAGGACAGGTGAGAACTCACTCCAAATGTTCTGTATACACTACACAGCCAGCTCTATCGTGATGTCTAGATCAGGGGCGCCCACAATTTTTTGTGTTTAAGATCTACTTTTTACATGACCAGCTCAATGAGATCTACCAAAGGATGGCACCGCAACGCACCTCCTACAACAAAACACAGGGTAGGTGTGATTGCGATGAATGCACTGTACTATTATGAATAGTCCCTTAGTTAGATCTGGCACTCTTATCCGAGGAGGTAAACTATGGGACTATTACCTATAATAAAAACAAAAAACTAACGCTCCTAATCTCAGTCTGTGGGGGCACAGTCTGTAGGTGGGGTGCAGGCCTGTGTACAGTGGGTAAAGATAACACGGGCTGTGGTGCACAATGCGCCCTCCCTCTGAGAAAGACCACCACTCACTCTGCCCAGGCCTGTGTAGGATTTGTGTCCCCCCAAGGGAACGGCTCTCAGATTCCCCCAGAGTAGCTGCATGCTGAGCCACGGCTTCCAGTGTCAGACGCTGTTCCAGGACACAGCGCCACCTGCTGGCCAACACAGCAAACTGCACCCAGCCACCAGCAGCTGAGCTCCCACATAAACGGAGCAGCTGATTCCAACTTGCGATCGCGACCTACCAGAAACAGCTTTGCGATCTACCTTTTGGGCACCCCTGGTCTAGATGATGCCCAAGGGTTAAACTACGTGTTATGTCCTGGCCGTGAAAACACTAGAGAGGAAGTTCTTTTGCATCTATAAAGATTAATTATTTGTGGCTGGCAGAGAAATGTGGCAATTCTGTAGCATTCATTTCTGTTAACATTGTCTGTTAATGTGGTTTCCTATAACCTTTCTTAAGCTGACCATCCCCCTCCAGATGGAAAAAGTGCAACAGATTCCTCCATCTACGCTAAACTGTGTGGATGGAGGAATCTCCCACTGGGCCAAGATTCAGTATCTTGCTAGTCAGCCTGCTTGCTCTCAAAATACCTAAACAATACCTGATGATGCCTGATACTGAAATTTTTGGGTTTGATAAAGAGTTGCACCAATATCATTTGCAGCTGCCACCATTTTATTCTTCAGGGTCTATGCTTTCAGGAAATATATAATTCTGGTGGTTTTAAGTAATTTTCAGGCCTAAATTGTGGTTAATATAATTTTTCAAAAAACAAATTGGCTTTGGCAGTGAAAAGGTTAAGCTATCAGTCTGTATAACCCCGCCTCCAAACATAATGCCTCAGTTTTTTGCTCGTGTCCTAGGAGGCAGGATGCTTTACATCCATTTACTATTTCTTCCACCTCTTGATTCTTGATCTGTATGAAGGAGATCTGTGAATAAGACATGTTTTTCCCAGTCTTCATCAGCTATGGCTGTTATACCTCCAAGGCGTTCAGTCTGCCTCTCACTCGCACTGCAGATATTAGAATCCATAGCCTTTTATTTAAGATTTCACCCCTCCATATAACTAGTGGCCTCTGGTTTGATGTTTCTGTTGGGTCCATGGATAATGAAATGGTGTGCCCTCCTTGCTCCAACAGCCGCTGACATCTCCCGGTTTTTTCCCTCAATGGACTCCAATTATACAGTACTGTGCAAAGGTTTTAGGCAGATGTGAAAAACGCTGTAAAGTAAGAATGCTTTCAGAAATAAGTGTTTTTAGTTTATTTGTATCAATTAACAAAATGGAAAGTAAATGAACAGAAGAGAAATTCAAATCAATATTTAGTGTGACCACCCTTTGCTGCCTTCTAGATACACTTGCACACGGTTTTTGAAGGGATTTTGGCAGGTAATTTGTTCCAAACATCTTGGAGAACTTCTCATGTGGATGTCGGCTGCCTCAAATCCTTCTGTCTCCATGTAATCCCAGACAGACTCCATGATGTTGAGGTCAGGGCTCTGTGGGGGCAAAACCATCACTTCCAGGACTCCTTGTTCTTCTTTATGCTGAAGATGGTTCTTAATGACTTGGGGTTGTGGTCCTGCTGCAGAATAAATTTAGGGGCAATCATACGCTTCCCTGATGATATGGCATGATTGTTAAGTATTTGCTTGTATTTCTCAGCATTGAGGACAACATTGATCCTGACCAAATCTCCAACTCCATTGGCAGAAATGCAGCCCCAGACGTACAAGGAACCTCCACCGTGCTTCACTGTTGCTGCGGACACTCATTATTGTACGGCTCTCCAGCCCGTTGGTGAACAAACTGCCTCCTGCTACAGCCAAATATTTCAACTCATCAGTCCAGAGTACCTGCTTCCATTTTTCTGAACCCCAGTTCCTATGTTTTTGCACATAGTTGAGTCGCTTATCCTTGTTTCCATATCGGAGGTATGGCTTTTTGGCCGCAAGGCCCCAGCAGGTGCTCTGGGCTGATGAGTCAAAATGTAAAATATTTGGCTGTAGCAGGAGGCAGTTTGTTCACGGAAGGGCTGGAGAGCAGTACAACAAGGGGTGTCTGCAGCAACAGTGAAGCATGGTGGAGGTTCCTTGCAATTTGGTCAGGATCAGTGGTGTCCTCAATGCTGAGAAATACAAGCAGATACTTATCCATCATGCCATACCATCAAGGAGGCGTGTGATTGGCCCCAAATTTGTTCTGCAGCAGGACAACGACCCCCCAACATACAGCCAATGTCCTTATGAACTATCTTCAGTGTAAAGAAGAACAAGGAGTGCTGGAAGTGATGGTTTGGCCCCCACAGAGCCCTGACCTCAACATCATGGAGTCTGTCTGGGATTACATGAAGAGACAGAAGGATTTGAGGCAGCCGACATCCACAGAATATCTATGGTTAGTTCTCCAAGATGTTTGGAACAAAATATCTGCTGAGTTCCTTCACAAACTGTGTGCCTAGAAGGCAAAGGCTGGTCACTCCAAATATTGATTTGATTTGGACTTCTCTTCTGTTCATTTACTTTCCATTTTGGTAATTGATCAAAATAAACAAACACTTTTATTTCTGAAAGCATTCTTACGTGTCGCTAACCTCACTTAGAGAGGTTAGTGACACGGCCAGACTTGCACAGTAAAATACTTTTCCCCCTGAAAAGAAATGCATTTGCTGTCAGTTACGGAGAACGCTTTAACAATTGCAGGATTTACTTGATCGTATTAGTTGTTGCCTAAAATGAATCTTTAACTTGCTGCATTAATTTTAATTGCACTTCTCTTTGACAGACGTTTGTTTTTCAAAGTATACGAGTTGACTCTCCAGTTCAGTTGTTAGTGAATGGCAAGCCCCAGGGACCAAGCACTCAGGCCAGTGCAACAGTGGCTTACAGACCCCAGAGCGAGTAACTCCAGGACTGTGGGATTTCCTGCTGTAAGCTGTGAAAAATGGGGTATAAGAGCGGGACGGTCAGAGCTGCCGATGCCCCTTGTGTTCTGTGCTGAAGTGAAAACACTCGCAGGGATAGAAGAGACTTCCAAAATGCACTTCCTTTGGTACAATAGTTCACTTTCTCTAATGCCTTGTTGAAAGCCGATCCTCCGAGTAAGAGTAAAGTCTGCCCCCCTGCTTTTTTATAAGAGCCGTCTACATTCCCTACTGCTTCTCGTATGTGGCATTTCACTCAGCTCTTTGTGTTGTTTTACTGGCCGTAGTTGTATTTATAAAGCAGATTCAGATTGTGTTTATTTATTTTTGCCAACGCCTTTCATTGCCCTCGCGTTTAGAGGAAGATTAATATTATGTTTCTTTTTTTTTTGTAAAAAAAACCCCAAAAAATAAATTTGCATTTATTTGCTAATAATTTACATTGCATTTTGTCTGTTGATGTTTATATTTTGTGCTGTAATTTTAGCTTTTTTTTTGGCCTGTCTCCTTTAAAAAAAAAAAAAACTAAAATCGTCAGCTCACTATTTGTTTACAAGGTATTTATCATATAAATGGAACGCAAGAAGAAAAGGTATGGCTTTCTCCAGAAAGCCCTTTACTGTATATGGGGTACTTATGACTCTGATAAGTAGCAGGTCTGGATCTGGAACAAACAGCTCTGGTGGTGGTGGGAGTGATTTTAAACAAAGCCTGACTCCAATTGACTTCCACTCCTCTTACAGTAAACCTTTACGATAACTGGTTTACGTAAATGGCGTGCCGCCACTGTTAATACTTTTCTTTACTCCCCTACTGTGAAAGTAAAGAACGAACGCCCTGTGTATGGTCTAAACTGAGTTAGTTAAAGCTTGAGGACTCTCCCCTCCACAACACGAACCGGACTGTCTACCTGAGCTGCTGAGGCATCCAGTGTTGCATCATGGGAGGAGCTGGTGAGGGTAACGTGCTTCCCATACCCAGAAGTATCGGGTATTTCCTTTTATAAATGGAGTGGTGGGCGAGCTAAGTGAAGAGAAATGCGTGCAACGTGAAAAGGGCAGCATTTAAGTGACCCTGTTGCTTTTTGCCGGAAATGAGCAAAGTGCAGTTTGAGTTTAACAGCAAGTGTATAATGGCGGCCACACACCTGTGGATATGATCATTAAATCGACCAAACTGATGGAATTGAATGTCAATCACAAAGCAAATACCCTTCCTTCAGTTGATTTAGTGAGCTCTCGATGGTCTTTGATTCCAAGCCGTAATGGATTTTGTATCAATCATATTGCATTGATCTGAATGTGTGTTGGAGCGCTAATTGTAATTCAGATTGATCAAATGATCATTTCTAATTGTTTACATTTTTAACTGATCTTGTTTTTGATCGATACTTTCAGTCAATCACAGTGCGGAACAATACTAAGGGATATTTTATTCGAAAATGAATGTCTTGTGCTTAAATCGATCACAATTTGCTACACCACCTATGGCCACCTCAAGGGCTTGTGTAGACAGACAATAGCATGCCTTCCAGTGCATTCTGTTTGCATTTAAAATTCGTTTTTTTGTTTGTTTTTAATTCTTAATTTTAGAAAAGGCAGGGGAATAGCAACACACACTGATACATGAAAGTGTAACATTGGCATAACTCAAACATATATAAATAATCGTAGGCAACTTAACAAGTAAAAGTAGTAGCACTGATATTTAGCATTCTTCCATGTGCCTTTCAAGAGCAACCTCATTGAGAAAACCATTTCCATGTAAACCATCGAGTGATAGAAAGTGTGACTATTCCTCCTATGCGATTTTTACAAAATTAAACAATAGAAAATGAAGGTGTACCGAAAATTAGTTCTTTTTGAGCTTCTTTAAGACCCTTTCGTATTCTAATTGACTTGCATGGCTAGAAAAGCAAACCATTACCTGTGTACGCAAGCCTTAAGGCAGAATGATCTGTCCTGACTTTGGATTTAGAGCTTTAGGTTTTTTTGTTTTTTTTTACAAAGTTAAATGCCGGATGCGTTTTTAGTCATACATAATGCCAACATATCTTTAAAGGAGAACTATGAGGTGAGTGCTTTTCACTCACCTCATAGTTCTAACCGACCTGAAACAATGAGACTGTCACAGGTCGGCTCAGTAGATCGGGAGGTGAGCGAACACATACATACTGTAGCTCGCGGTATACTGAGCTTAGGGTGACGGGAGGACGCTAGTTTGTGTCCTCCCGTTACCCTAAGGAGAACTATGGGGTAAAGCCCTGACCCCATAGTTCTCCTTTTTAAATGTACGGACAGAAAAAAAAAATTCCTATATCTTAAATGAGCAGGCTATGCAAAAATGCATTTGGCTGTAAAAGGAGAGTAGAGCGCTGTTACCATGCATAGTGTTTGAATACTATAACTAGTAAAAAATTAGGGAAGAAAGGGCAGATAATATAAAGTCTGCTATTGGGATCCAGTGTAATGTCATTGGCTGATCAATTGTAAGATCATCACTTACAACCCATTTTTGAAGGCCAATAGTGTAACCTTACTGGCTTATGTAAAGTGAAAATATGGAAATAATAAATGCAAAGACTGCTCACATCACGTATTAAAAGTTTTTAGGGAAATAAACGTTAAAAGGTAAGCCCACTTTCCCAGGTGAGTCTGGGAAAAGGAAATACCCACTCCAATCTGTCATGTCCGTGTGTCCCCCCCATACTTACCTTTCGGCGATAGTACACCCCTACTCTGTCAGTAGGGGTGTACTATCCGTACCGGGCCCTGTGCTATATGGATTATGAATTTCGCTCACACATGGCGAGCACTCATTTGGTCAGTGTGGTCACCTGACTGCGCTGACCAATGAGAAGCGATTCCTAGTAAGAACTGCTTCTCATTGGTAAGTGCGTTCAGAAGCTGGTCTTATTGACCTATGAGAGCTCGCCATTTCTGAGTGAAATTCATAGTGCATGGCTGCGCTGCATGGCATTATGGGGTATGGATAGTACATCCGTACCGGTGGAGGGAAAGGAGCGTTCGCAGAAAGGCAAGTACAGCAGGGGGGGGGCATTGTGATGGGGTGTAATTCAATTTTCCCAGATTCATCTGGTAAAGTGGACTTACCCTTCTTAAGTGCAAATACAAGATACCTGCTATCACCGTTAGGCAGTGGACCCAAATTTCTGGTAATTTTGATGACTGTCAGATGTCCAAAGAGCTAGCACCTTGGTCATAAATGTGTCATCTTGAGAAACCACAAGTTTCAACATTCGTCAAGTCTTAAGTTCAAAATGACAGATGTATCATAAAACAGAGTAATATATATATATATTATGCATGTATATAATTTTTATTTTTTTTAAGCCTTATAATTCATGCATTGATGCCATTTTGAATAACAGATGCAATTTTAAGTACATATTTCTCCTTCAAGTCCTATAGGCTTCTGATCCTTCTTGTGGATTACATCATTATTCAGGATTATTTAGTCCATCGTGTGCTGCTGATGTTTCAATTCAAAGCTTGCATTGGATAGCCTGTTTACATTTGAGATTTGAGGAGATTCTTGGCAGTGGTTGATTTGAACAAAAGCTCTTTTAAGTCTTCTATTTAATTTGGTTTTACTTGGACTTGTCTAATGAGTTGTCTAAAACTTTGCCAAGAAAGCATAGCCTCAACCCCGTGAAATTACTTGCCAGCCTTTCTTTAGCACTCGCAAATGACATCTATATGTGTTGAGCAGATTGAAAACCATACAAGCAAGCCTGGACACTGAAACCAAAAATGGTGCAAATATTGACAGTGCTGTACTAAACCTGGGAGAGCTGACAAGTGGCAGAATCGGAATAGCTAAAACAGCGCACAAAGGTCATTTATGGTGCAATACCGCTCATACAAAGTCCGTAAACATTAGTGAGTACAATAGAGGGATTTCCACTTACATTTTCTCTGTAGTCAGACATAAGCTAACAGCCCAAATCAGATATTTTACTTCCAAGGCCAAGATTGTATGTTTGTATAGGCAGGACTTCCACGCCCATCTAATCTTGTTATAGCTTGAAATGTTTTGTTCTAGAATTCTAAGTGATTGGAAATGTTTTATTTACTTACATTCTATACAGTAGATAATACATCCTGTTCTGTATCATTTACACTGTACAGTGCCATGGGAGGTTATGTTGCGATCTAAATCCTTAATAATTACAACTAAGCTATGACTCACTCTTATTTATATACTCTGCATTGCGGATAATCCATTGGGGTACTTAACACAATCATTTTGACTTGGGTGTGGCATTTGGGCAGAACTGGGAATTCTGGTTATACCTCTGGAATGGTCTGAATGAGAGATCTGAGATCTAAGAAAGCATATGATTAAACTTGTAAACAATCTCTTGTTTACAAGTGGACTGAGAAAATATCTAGGCTGCCATTGCTGCACTCTCCTTTTGAAAATGCACATTGGCACTTATGATGTTCTAAAAGCTTCAGTCATTGAAATTGCTCACAAGGAACAATTTACTCTGATCCGTAGTTCAGACCTTCATTGGAGTTCACTAGTTGCATGTTTGCTCCAGGTCAGTAACTCAGAATGTGCTGGGGGGGTAGTATATTTAGGACCAAATTGACAGCTTGTCCTAATCTCAGTACAGGTTTCCCTTTAGAAAAACAACTAAATACACAGTTGAAATACATGTGATTTAGCTTACTTATGGATTTGTATTCATGTTCGGCTAGTTTTCGAGTCCAGGCCTCTTTGTCAGTCAGCACTGCCAGGCACTATACAACCCAATGACCACTTTTCCCCACTGCTATCAAAGTATCAAAGCATGGTGAAGGCTGCGACTGGATTGTGAAGGAGCAGCAGCTGACTGATGAGGCCATTTTCTCCAGTCAGAGAGCATTGTTTTATTTTACACTTTTTTATGGAAATATTTTAGTTACATATTTGGATTATTGCCTGACTGCATTGTGTGTGTGTGTGTGTGTGTGTGTGTGTGTGTGTGTGTGTGTGTTGTCTTGATTGCCTACCTTTCCACTTCAAAATTAGTTGACCTTGCTTGTAGAATGTGTCCCTAATAAAAGTTACAAGCTGACCAAATTGCAGGTACCACATGGAGCTGGTAGATACCTCAGGTTGTGATAAATGTTTTCTAGTGTCCACTATTACATGCTACTGCATACTGATCCACGATGGATAGATTTTCACTGTGTTGTGTATTGTTAGTTTACTGTCTGAACTGTCTAATTGTAGGCTCAAAATGTAAAGTAAAACTATAGCCTTCCATTTAAAAATTATAACACCCATACGTACATCTGCAGTTTGTTTTCCCCTTACAAAGTTGCACTAATACATGTTGATCCTGCCAGTTAAGACTACCGTATATACTCGATTTAATTAGGTACCTCGGCTTATATTCGGGACGGCTTATACTCGAGTATATACGGTACCTAATGTAGCTTCTTGTGATGGTCTGGTAACGATGCTGCTCTGCCTTTGAATTCACAGCAGAGTTGCCACTCATGTAGGGTGTGTCTGCTTGCACTACAGGGGATCATAAAAACAAAGGTTCTAGAGAACGTGGCTATCAACATAGTCACGGCTGATTCCCAAGCCTTTCTGGATTGACAGCATAACTCCTGTTATTGAAACCCCCCAAGTGTAGGCTACAGTGTCTAGAAGGGGGAGTGTGAGACAAACGAAGGAGGAATTGCTTCAGACAAGGAAGTTTTTATTTTTTGTTTACTTTATCTGCATCACATAGTAACTGGATTTGGTACTTGTATAGACTGTCCTAAATGGGTCTTTAGTTGTACTTTTAAATACTCTTGCAGGATATGAATGGTTAACATTATTAGATTTTATATAGTTTGCTTTGTCAAAAGATTCTAACTGCATATAGAGCTTGTTCATACCAAGTGCCGAACAGTTGCAGAATGTATCAAAAACGCATTCAATATATTCCAAATGGTATTTTGGGCTCTAGTTCACACCAGAGCGTTTAGTTCCAGAGCATGTGGAAAAACTGCAGCATGCCCTATTTTTCCTCCTGTGGAACGCACCAATAAAAATGTCTGGGAACTCTTCAAAAACGCGGCAAAACACACTGCACTGCATGTGCAGAAACTCGTGCAGATCCGGTCCGGATTTGGTGTGGACAAGCCCTTAGTCAAAATGTGTGTTTACACACTTACCGTTTGGTTCTTCTCAGAGAATATAGAAGACCATCAAAACGTTTGGATGGAAGATGTTCGCATGAAGGCCAAAATATGAGAAAATGCGAGATCAAGTTTTAAGAAATAACTTTGATGGAATACCACCACCTAAAAATGAACAAGCCTTATGTCACAGCTTTTCACCCTCATGGCTCCCAATAGTTTACAGGCATTCTTTCACTGATCACAATAGCATAATATCCAGTTTTGTGTAAGTACTTTGTATATTCTCACCATATCATGGACAGCCCCATCTTGATCGGTTGATCTCATATACAGGCTCTGCTTTCTAGGCGTGATGTATTGGCGTAGATACTAGGTATTCAGAGAAAAGCCTTTAACAAGATTTCCGGCAAACAATGCATTTATCTACTGAACCAGTCAACTTGGTTACAACTGTTGCATGTTATTGTTGTGGGAGTCCATCTATGTTATTTCATTTGATAAAATTGTCCTTTTCAATTGCAAGCCTTTCCATTCAGTTCATAGGGTATGGTGCAAATGATTGAATTCTGGATCTCTTGTACTCGCAATACATGGCCTATCGTGAGCATGAAGATTTGTGTGTATTACAGCGTCTTATACAGCCTGACAGTACGGTGCATCCTGTGATCCTAGTGGTATCCTGTAGATTTTTTTTAACTTATGTGTATATAGTCCAACGGGCAGTTTTTTCCGAAGTTCTGTTTGATGATTTTCCTTACCTTTTAATTCCTTAGTGTATACACATAAGGATTAAGCAATGGTACGACTGCACTAGTTACAATTGCAACTGTCTTGTTGTAGTTTGTGGACTGGCCCTGAGTTGGTTTTAAGTAAGTAAAAATACAGCTACCATAGGCTAAAGATACGACCAGTGCATGGGAAGAGCATGTTGAAAATGTTTTTTTCCTTCCCTCTATAGACGGAATATTCAAAATAGTTTCCACTATATTTACATAGGAGATGAGAGTGACTAGTAGAGAACTAAGCAGTGTAATAGAAGAACTAATGACTTCCTGAAGCTGAATTGAGGTTGTGTTAATGCACGAGTTCATTAACAAGGGAATGACATCACAGAAGAAATGGTTCACCAGACTGCAGCAATATGGAAGTCTCATTATCCTAATGGATGGAGGAAGTATTACCAAAAAAGCCAAAATGAATCCACTTACAATGAGCTTAATGCACAGCTTTTGGTGCATGATGGCTGGGTAATGTAAAGGATGGCAAATAGCAACATAGCGGTCAAAGGACATAATGGCCAAGAGAAAGAAAGTTGATACCCCTACAAAGAAGAAAGTATAAGACTGTGCAAAGCAAGCCAGCAATGAGATGGTCTCCCCACCAGGCAGGAAACCTTGAAGCATTTTAGGGACTCTGGTATTGATGAAACAAATATCCAAAATGGACAAATTGCTTAAAAATAAATACATGGGGCTCTGGAGACGCTTCTCTGAGAAGACTAGAACCAGGATGAGAAGGTTCCCAGCCATGGAGAAAAGGTATAAGACTAGGATTAAAAAGAAGAAGGGAGTGGCAATCTTTGGCACGTTAGAAAAGCCCAATAAAACAAACTCGGATACCAGTGTCACATTTTGCCCATCGAGGATCAAGTGGATATTGTTCCTGCCACAGTCACCTGCATAGGGCAATGTCATCACTACAGGACAAAGGATATGTAATGTGAGATATAGTAGAAGATAGATGGAGGGATAGATTAGTAAGTGATGGTAACCTACCTTGTCTTCAGTGATCATCTTATTCTATGTGCCACGTGGATTTTCTCCTCTCTTGTGGGTTTATTTTCTCTAAAGTTTTTAATGCAGTCTCTACAGCCATCTCGTACTTCAGACTTTCCAGCTTTAGAGTTTGGAAAGTCTGTAGAGATTAATTAAGCATTTACTTACTCAAAGGTTTACTATGGTCTCTAGTGGATTTACTTACAACTCGATGTTACCAATAAATAATTATTTGTAAAAAGTAAAGTTCTGATATTTACCCACCTGAAAAGTTCTACGATGGTTTACAGAAGCCAAGCAACAGTTTTACCAGGGTCCAACCAAAGATTTGTTTGATGTTCGAGCAGCTCTGGCTTCTTTAAATATTTGACTTGTTGGTGCTTTTGTTTAGCAGTAGTACTGCTCCAGTTCACTTTGTGCTGTCATTCAGATAAACGAGTCAGGCCTGGAATGGGTATCTGGCAATTTGTTGTCAGACAGGGTTTCAGATGTTTTTATTAAAGGCACTTTGCAAACATTATTGATTCACACTAATCGGTTCATTCTGATTTATCCTTCATTTTATCTTAAATTATTCTAAAATATGTTATTGGCTTTGCTTCTTGGATAAATTGATATATAGAAAGTTACACTGGCCATTGTGTTACTGGGCGCTGTAGCAGTTGCATTATCTTCTATAGCTGTATGTATGTGCTTGTTTATGTTCAAAGGAGAACTCATCTAAGTACTCTTTGCACTTAATCTGGACTTTTCGTAGGTGTGCTTCTGGTATCAGTCAGTGGGGCAGACGCAGACTGATGTCTGCGCCACTTAGCAGAGCAGACCAGCTTAGCAGATCAGAAAACATGCATATTAGCAGACACCCAGCTTCAGAAACTAAAGCAAACTTACCGGTTATTCATACATCTAAACAAGGCTTTGCCTGACCTGTGAATGGCCAATAATGGGACTTTACAAATGTTCAACCCCACCCTGTACAAGTCATCTCTCCCAGCATTCTTTTGCCAGGCTTTTCTGGTCGGGTATGGATGTTAAGGTGGCAACCCATACAAAAAAAAAAACAATTATGTGGAGTCTCCCCAACATCTGTTAAGACTCTTTTCTGAGCATACAGCCTAGCAGGCTAGTAAAGGGGGGTGCATAATCTTGCACCTCCTGAACAATACTAGGCCACATGCCCTCTTAACATGGGGGAGGGACATCATGCCGGGGTAACCCCCCTTGACAAAGTAACTTGTCCCCATGTTGATAAGCGCAAGAGCCTCTTCCCCACAACCCTGCCGCAGTGGTTAATCAGAACCTGGAAGTCCCCTTTAATAATAAATGGGAACCGCAGATGCCTCTCCCCATGTGAATGATTAAGGGTACATAGTACCTCTACTCATTCACACACACAAAAAAAAAATGAAAGTAAATAACACATTTAAGAAGTAATTAAACACAAAGTTGTACATCCATCATCAATCATATATCAGATGCAGATTGTCAATCATGGCGAATAATGCCTGCCAACCTTTATTGCAGAATGTCATCGACCATTCTAAATGGGCCGTTATTCTTCTTTATCTTGTGCCATTTTCTCTCCTATCAAAAAAAAACACCTTATCTGGGGTTACGGTTCAGGAAGCAAAAGCTTCCCACATGTTCAATCAGCTGTATCACCCTTTCCCTGAATGACCTGAATATTGCGTCAAGTGATATGACCCTCTCCAATCAGCTACCGCTGCCCACCTGTAGATAACTAGAAGATCTTGAGCCTCCATAAAGTGGGAGCATGGGACTTGAATATATCTCAAATGGCAGTGCCTCCACCCAGCTGGGTGGAGGCACTAAACTCAGGAGTTAAATCTTAAAAATGTATTCAAGTACCTTTAACTATTAACAGAATTGTATAATTTGTGTATCAATCAGCTGTAGATCCTCAAATCATCTCTGAATTCATGATGACACTGTCCTTCCTTCTGGAGGGTGGCTACTTTTGTTCCCCATGGCTGTGTGTTTTATAAAGTAGTCACCACTCTAAGCTCACTCCTGTGATTAAACTACAATCTCATTACTAATGAGTGACCTAAACGTGAGGTTGTAGTCTATAGCTGGTGGTATTCTGCATTGCTGTATAATGTATTGCTGGGGATTGTAGTCCTCTTTGGCTGGTGGTATTCTGCATTGCTGTATAATGTATTGCTGGTTTGTAGTCCCTGTACAGCTTGGAGTCGGTGGCTGAACTACCAGAGATGCAGTGTTTGCAGCTATGACTGGGCCCTGGCACTTCACCACTCTCCTTAAAACCATTTATTTGCATTGTTTTAGAAAAACTGTCTCGCTAAAAAAAAAATGTCTCGGTAATTGGTATTGACGAGTACTTCAGGAAAAGTATGGGTACTCGTACTCAGGAAAAAAATTGGTATCAGTGCATCCCTATTAAGGAGTAGAACATCTTGTACAGATGGGGTCATGTTAAAGACTGAAATCTAATCACACAGAGTAAAAACTTCTGGTTTTGGAAGGTGGGTGGAGATGAGAATTCAGAAGGCTGCATTCACCCAAAACTGAAATCTCAGTTTTTATTAACTTCCTGTAATACCGTAGTGGTCATTATCATTGACACTAAAGATTACATAAGTCAATTCAGCAAGCCACTTCCTGCAAGGGAGACAGTCTGGGTGCATTTATTCATTTTTTTGCAAAAGAATGAACCTTTGAAGTGACTTTCAAGGCTCCATTTATTCATCCACATGAACTTCTAAAACAAAGTCTTACAATGTTTACTGCTGCTTCATCTTGTACAGTTTCCCTGTTTTAATTTAGTCCCTTTAAGTGTTGCCCTGCCTTCCGGATCTAGGGTGGCTCTTTTCTCTTGCAGAGTCTGCGGGGAGCCACCCTTTCATGCACACACTCTGAATCGGACTATGGGGGGGAAGTGCTGACACTTCCTGCGTCTACATGCATAGGCAGACAGAGATTACTACACAAAATAAAACATGGGATGGAAGACATAATGGGACTTGTAGTCCCACTGAATGATAGCGACATTATTTGTGTGCTGTCTCTGACAGGAAGTTTGGCGAAGCAGCGCATCAGATACAGGAGGAGAGGGGTTACTATACTCATAACAAAGGAAGTGCTTATGTACAGTTTATAAATAAAATGTCTATTGTGCTGTAACATGCTAATGATTCTTGTTTGCAGAAAGGAAAAGATGCTCTAGTGCCATCTTCAAGAACATTAGCCAGTACATTATAGCTATTTATATATGGAAATAACTAACAATAACATTACAAGTTGATTTAAAAAAAAAAAGAAGACTTTTCAAGGGTCGAAGGAAATCCCGACTGCCGAAACCTTGGGGTCATTGAAGATGGAAACAAACTGGCCAAAGGCCAGATGCCAGTAGAATTAATTTTCGGAATGTTCAGTGTTAAATCGAAGATCGATTATGACCACAGTGATGAGAAAAAAATGAAATAGCAGGATGAAAAACGTTTCTCAAACAAATGAAATTCTAACAGTAAATGTGGGTTAATTCCAGAAACTCCTTTCATTTGAAAATTGAATATTAAAACCAAACAGAAATTCGAATGACATTTGTCAAGTGTCTGATGACATTATCCAATGTTCTGCCCACATTTTTCCTAGGAAGGTTTGTTGGAAAATCTAGGAGAGCGGGGCCAGCATTTTACAGAATGGTGTGATAGAGAAGGATTATTCTCTCTGCTAGCACTAGAGGGTCTCATATAAAGAGTACAGAGGAAGTCCTTTCCCAGAAATGCCTTCAATCTCACTAGTAGTGACTCACGGGAAGAGGAGGAGATCCTGCATGAGCAGATGTACGGAGTGTAAAGCTGCTACAGTGACAGCAGACAGCCTTGTCCTGCACAAGAGAACTAAAAGATATCAAGATCTCACCATATCAAGTGTTTGGATCTACATAGCCACGGGTGAGTCTTACAAATGTGATCCACATATGGTATTGTTGGTGCAGACAGTTGTGTATTTGTGAAAAGTGTGTGCATCAGTAGTATCTTTCAAATTAGAAAATGTCATACGATTCCAATGCCAAATGAAACAATGGCCAGGCACAGCTTTTGTATTCTTAAATACACTGCCTGTCCAAAAAAAGTCACACACTCTTATTTCTTTGGACTGCATTTAGCTTTGATTACAGCATGCATTCTCCATGGTATATTTTCTATGAGCGTATGCAATGTCACAACATTTATTTCTGTCCAGAGTTACATTAATTTTTCACCAAGATCTTGTAATGACGTGAGAGCTGGACCACTATGTAATGTCTTCTCCAGCACATCCCAAAGATCCTCAATGGGGTTAATGTCTGGACTATGTGGTGGCCAATCCATGTGTGAAAAGTATATCTCATGCTCCCTGAACCACTCCTTCTTTTTTTTATTTTATTTAAATTTGATCCCGATGAATCCTGACATTGTTATCTTGGAATATTCCTGTGCCATCCGGGAAGAAAAAATCCATTGATGTAAAAACCTGGTTATTCAGATAGGCAGTGGACCTCATTTTTGGGCATATAACATTGCTGGACCTAGACCTGACCAACTGAAACAACAATGTTTACGAAACACTAACGGATTCTTGTGTATGAACACACTTGGCCCTATTATATTCCTCAGCCATTATGTATGGTTACATTTGGGACATATTAAAGAGATAAGCAATAATAATATACCTAGTTTATCAAACATGACTCCTCTTAAGATGGCCATACACCTATAGATTATCTGCAGATTTCCTATGGTCAGACAGAAAAAGTGCAACTGATTCCGTCATCTATGCTTAACTGTGTGGATGGAGGAATCTCCCACTGGGCCAAGCTTCAGTATCCTCCTAGTCGGCCCCGCTGGCTCTCAAAATATCTGAACAATCTGATTGGATGCAGGCATTGTTCAGGCATTTTGAGAGCCAGTGACTAGCAAGATACTGAAGCTTGGCACAGTGGGAGATTCCTCCATCCACACAGTTTAGCGTAGATGGAGGAATCTGTTGCACTTTTTCCATCTGACCATAGCAAATCTGCGGATAATCTATAGGTGTGTGGTCAGCTTTAGAGAAGGCACCAAATTTCCAAAGTATCTACAATGGTTAAAAAAAACTGTAAACTGAAAATACACTAGTGTGGAAAGCCTTCGTCATTCGTCAGCCTGTGTGGAAAGCCTTCGTCATTCTGAAAGAAAGTTTCATCTATGCAATCAAATCTTCCACACAGACTAATAACTAAAGAATCCATTTTACACAGCTTCCCAACAAACATGTGGCAGAGCAATTTCTGTTCATGACGCTAGTATAATTAGTAAGTGTAAACAGAAATCCTGTACCTTCCCTTCCTGGCTGTCCTCTGAGATCACACATTCCCCAGGCCTGGCTCCTCTGGGTACACGGCTGACACCAGCAGATTTCCATTCAAAAGTTTTCATTTCCGGAACATTCATTCGATCTAATGGTTTATTGGGCTTTAATTGTCCGCTCCCGGGAAGGACAGGTGCTGCGTGTGATTGTACGCAGCAGCATGTTCTTCCCTACGGGAGGATGCGGCCGTACACCACCATATGCTCACCCGAGCCGCACATCCATCCTGCCTGCGTACAAGTACGGAAACCCACACAGAGTGCAGTTCGGGTGAGCGTATGGCCATGTACTCCCATAGAGAAGAACAGGCTGCTGCGTGCAATCACAGGCAGCACCTGTCCTTCCCGAATGAGGCCTAAAACATCTGAGATTCCATTGAAGTAGCTGGTCTAGATGACCTAAGCCCCCATTTACACCTGAGCGATTTGAAGAGCGTTTCCAGAAGTGATTCAACGCTCAGCTTTTTTTTTAGGTTATACTATTGTGCCTGTTTGAGCAATGTGTCCTCGCTCAACAATCAAAGTACAGGAGCTTCTTTTGGGCATGATCACATGTTTTCGGCCCCTATACACTTTAATGGGGGTGCTTGAAAAACACATAGGCACAAAATTGTGTGAAAAATCATGCTAACGATGTTCTCCTCCTGGTAATTGGCTTTCCATTGGCTCACACAAAAATGCATTCAGCCCCGGGTTCCTCCACACAATGCAAAAATGCTTAGCTTAAATGTCAGAAGTGATATGTATGTTAACCATTATACTAATACCACCCATTGATAAGGCCTCATTCACACTGGCAGTGACATACATGCTTTTTTAGGACATTTCCAAACACATGTAATGATTTTTTAAATAAATCTCTTTATTACATTTTGCAATAATAAAGAAGCAACAAGCTCAACAATACACAACACAAATAAAGGAAAGAGCACACAATCACATGAAAACATTCCCCAGGACAAAAAGAATTGTCCGCCTGTGATGATTTTAAAAGGAATCATTCACACTGTGCATTTGCCTGCATTTAGGAGCCGTCGGTCTAGCTGGGTTTAGAAAAAAAAATAGACTTCTGTATGACCAAGGGCAGATTATGATGGGGCAGATTATGATGGGGCAGATTATGATGGGGCAGATGTATGTAAACGTGTGTGTTTGCGGTTATGTTTAAACACAGGAGAAAGTGATCCGGGCAACATAAAGTCTGTTTTATTCCAGGTTAAAAAACACAGGAGGCTAATGTAAATGTAGCCTAAAGCTGGGCATGTATGTGTTATCACAACACACGTTATCGCACATTAGGGGGAATTTACTAAAGCCAGGGCAACCAATCAGCTTCTCTCTTCAGTTTGTTGAGTTAAGCTTTGAAAATGATAGAAGCTGATTGGTTGCCCTGCACAGCTGCTGATTTTGTCTGCTCCAGTTTCGACACATCCACCTCATGTGCATTTGCTTGTTGCATTGTCAATCCTTTTGGATGACAAGGCAACGCAGCTTCGTCACTAATGTTGAAGTGCCCCACAGCGGACCGTAGCGCACATGCCCGTTTTTTTGGTCTGTCCCTGTGCATTGACAGCCCGCTTAAAATGAATGGGACGCCTTCATATACATGCAACGCACAGGGACAGAGAAGTGCGAATGAATGTAACGTCAGGGTTAATCTAAAGGTGGCCATACACTTTACAACCCTCGCAAGACTTTTGTCTTGCGAGGGTTGTAAAGTAATTTAAAAACCTACGATCTGCCCATCTTGGACAGGCAGATCGTACTTGCAATCATCGCAAGCCCGCCCCCCTGAGGGGCGGGCTTCCGATGACCGCAATGCTGAACGGGCAGTGTGCGCGTGCGCACACCGGCCCGCTTGGCATTTCTCTCCCGAGTATCATTCAAACCAGCCGAAAATCCTACGATTTTCGGCGGGTTTTCAAACATGCTAGTTAGACAAAAGACGTGCTACCGTACAGTAGAAACAGTCGCACGCCTTCCATACACTTTGCGATTATCGTACGATCGTGGGATTTCCCGGGATTATCGTACGATAATCGCACAGTGTATGGGCACCTTTTAGAAGCAATTTAGCTCCAGCGTGCTTTCAAGCTTGCATCTGAGCTGCTTTTGTGTGCAATAACATTGACTAATATGGGGGGAAGAAAGCAGTTCAGATGTAAAGCAAACCCTGCCAAATTACACTCTGTGTAAGATTTTGTGTGCCAAACTGACTCACTTATGAGTGCGTAGAAGCAATACACAATATGAGTGAAAGTGTGAGATTCTGGTTGTCCAGTGTCCATTCTGTTATTGGTAAAATCATTTATTCATTAAAACTCTTGTGTTGCTAACACAATGTTTTGTATTTCTGTATCATTTCACCTAAGGCCTGGTTCACACATAAGGCTCCATTCACACCTAGGCGACACCTGTTACGCATAGATTTTGGCACATTCATCTGAATGGGTAAAATGCACGCAAAAACGTGCAAAAGTAATCGCAACACAGGGGGACCAAATGCGCTGAAATCTGCCCAAAAGTAGCTCATGTACTATTTCGAGTGGCAAGCGTATTTTTGCTTGTGACAAAACTTACAGGAGTGAAAACTAGGGCCATATAAATTAGCCTGGAGCGACAATACGCCTAGGTGTAAACAGAACCTAAGTGTCACAGCTGAATAACCGCAACAAAGTGCTTCACAAAAAAAATCCCATTAATTCTTATGGCCCCTGTTCACACCTAAGCGTTTTGTCGCATTAAACAAAACACCTGTCGCTGGAAAAAGTACATGAGCTTCTTTTTGTCAGATTGACTCTGTTGGGACAAAACGAGCTGTAATCTGAAACGCTTGGAAATGCGTGTTGCAATTGTTCCTGCGCTTTTTGCACATTTACATCGATGTGTTACAATCTGCTTATGAAAATGTGTGACTTATTGCACAAAAACATGCACGAGTGTGCAGCAACAATTGCGGCGTTTCTACGCGTGAAAAAGCTGTCCCTGATGTGATAATCAGGCCTTGTAAACCCTGATTCTGAAGTAAAGAATTTATTAAAAAACATTAAAAAAAACTCTTGTGGATGTACATAGAACATTGCAACTATGATGATGGAATGGTGGACTCATTAACAATGACAAGAAATGATAGAACAGTGTAGCGCTTTAAAATGAAAACAAAGTGACTAATATACAAAATAAATGTGTCAACAAATATAGTGAAAGTGCTTCTGCTTAAATTATAAACAAGATTAATAAGAAAGTTCTGTGTCTTTACAAATTCCAAACGCCAGAAAAAAAGCCTCTGAAAGTATCACCGCTGAGAGTGTGCAAAATGGAACTCCAATGTGTATTACTGCTACTGTGAGTAAAGCTCAATACCGTGTCACAAGATAGCATAGCCAGCTTGGTGACCTCACATTTCTCTGATGCAGTTAGGCCTCATTTGGATGGGTGGCTGAGGGCTGGTACAATCTGGAGGTTGACCTGCGGTTTTACTGCTCCCCAGTTGCCCAGTCGGAGTGCTAGCATTGTACCCGTTACGGTGCTGTATACATATACAAAATTATACAGCATTATGCTTTTGGCGGACCTGCAAAACATGACCATAGGTGAATGAGACCACGTTGCAATTGCTTGCCAAACGTGGTTGTGGCATCCAAAACACTGGTATTCAGGAGCTGGTAATATTGCCTCCTGAACGCCGGGCACCCACTTCTCTATTGCCCTGTGAAGTGCAGTCCACCACGGATTACCTTTCTGATGGCCTGCTGCCTTAAGCATAACAGTTTGGTCATTTACCAGCTCGTTCACCTACCTGTTCCCAGTGTGCTGGTTGGACAGCCAAAAGCAATATCACACTAGTAAGATTGTCATTCTCCTCTACTTCAATCAGAAAGTTCCAAGTGTTAAGGTGCCCATACACCTGCCGATTATCGCCGATTAAATGCCGTGTACGACATACACCTGCCGATTATCGTACGATAATCGCAGGTGATCCCGCGATCGTACGGTAATCGGCAGGTGTATGGGCAACGTGCGACCACATCACACTATTTTCGTCTTCCTAGCTGGCTGGAAAACCTGCCGAAAATCGTACGATTTTCGGCGGGTTGGTAGTGTGCTCGGAAAACGAAAGCCGCACGGGCACACACTGCCCGCTCTACATTGCAATCATCGGCAAGCTCTCTCCTCAGCATGATTGCAAGTACGATCTGCCTGTCCAAGATGGGCAGGTCGTACAAACTTTTAATGACCAACCATCGCACAATGAAAGTCATGCAATGGTTATAAGGTGTAGGCAAGCTTTAGACTGACAACACTGTTTAATGCAACAGAGCCTAATCTGCTCTTATTGATAGTGTCTTAGTTTTGCCTTTCAGTGGATTTTAGGAAGCTAATATTCACTTAACATGGAAAAATTCATCAAAGTGACCACTAAATCTGTTTCCTGAGCCATTGGATATCATAACCGGTGTCTGACCAAGCTGAAAAACGATGTTTTGGCCACATGCTAGGGATAGTATACATGTGAATGTTCTGCTCTTTACCTATAGGCAGATGGTGACTGTCTTTTCTTTCTTTTTTAAGATCAGAATCAAGATGTCGTCGGGTTGGTTTGCCTTCTTCATGCTTTGCATTTTTGGCAGCTTGTCTATAATTACATGTCAGAACTACAACAAATTTATGGAAAAGCACATTGTTCAAGATGAAGAGAACATAAACTGCAATCTCACCATAAGTAATCGGAAGCTCAGTAGTAATAATTGTAGATATCACAACACTTTCATCCATGATACCAATGCCAAGAAAATACGTGCCATGTGCTCACCATATACGTCTCCTCAAGTTGTTAGCAGCAGTGGATCCTTGAGGCTGACTGATTGCAAGCTAGTAAAGTCTCCAAGTGCTACACATTGTGCCTACCACCAGAAAGGAATCAGAGGAATAGTGTATGTAACCTGTGAGAACCATGTACCAGTTCACTTTGTCAGATTTCATGAAAGCTCCAGTCCTTCTTGGTTTCCCTGCATTTGGAACCTGGTTCTTCTCATTCTTCTAAAAGAATTGCTGCTAACTCAATTTTAATAGGATATCCATCAGGGAACGAGCAGAGTCTTTTAAAACCATTGCATTCATATTTTAATGTATCTTGTGGTGACATCTGTGAGCAGTTTTCTCACACAAGTTGTTACTTCTATGCTTTATCCGGAAGATTTAAAACATACAGTTGAAAAGCTTGTTTGTGTTTCTAGCAGCCTGTGGGGCATGTAGATACAAGTACAGTATATATATAGACAGCTCTTATTTTGCTTATGCAACTCTAAGACCCCTTTCACACGGACGGCGTCTGTTTCCATCAGCAGGGGATCTGTGCACAAATCCCCCTGCTGATCGGAGCAGTATGGAATGGATGTCATTCTTGTTACATCCTTGTCCATTCAGTTTTATCCTCCATAAAAATTGTACTACATGGACCCATGTTAGTTCTGAGGGGAGTCAGATGTAAGCAGACATATGTCTGTTTACATCTGATTACCTTCAATCTGTCCTGTTCAGGCCAAAACAGAACAGAGCAAAATGTAATCGATATAAACTGACACACATCTGTATACATCTGACCCCCCTACAGACTAACATTGAGCTTCTGATCACACCAGATCCGTTGACATCCATTTTTCAAATGATGCCAAAGCAAGGATATCTGAAAATGAATGGTGAACGGGAGCAGTCCTCACCAGTGCATTGCGTTGTGTTTTCCTATGCTGAAAAAAAAGTAGAGCAGGCTCTACTCTTGTTCAGCACAATGAAACACACAACAGACTGGTGTGAACTGCTAACGTGTGTCAGTACCTTATATAGCTTAGTGTAAATATCAGAGAACCCCCCCGTACCTCCATTTTTGGTTCCAATTCCGAAATGAATGCACATAAAAATCAGGATATGTGTTAAGTCAACCTGCAGTGGAAAACAATTACATAATCCACACTGGCAGCATGTAGCCAACACCTCCAAAACCTGCATTTTTGGACCATTATTCAATTCAGTCTCCCGGGGGTAGGCGAATCCAGGGACAATCTGATATACATCTGGCTTACTGTGTCAAAAGCTAGGCCTTTATTGTCTTTTCACTGTGGTGAGTAGTCTTGCTGGCCAGCAATGAAATTTAGAAAGCAGGAAAAGGTGGCGTCAGCCACCAGGAAGCTGGGTTGATTTGCACATATCAGAGTGCCCAGGGGCTCAAGGCAACCTGAGGACTGAGGTGGATAGTGAACCTGACATGCACGCACCTGGTGCTGTTGGCATGGATTAGGTCCTCATGTTATATTTTTGGTTCACATTACATAGGTTTAAAGGATAACTACTTTGTCCAACTATCCTTTAATTCAGGTGCAGGCAGCCTTGGCACTCCAGCTGTTGTGGAACCACAAGTTCCATTAAGCATTGCAAGACTCTGTTAGCCACAGACATGTCTCCCAGTAATTTCACCACAGCTTGAGGTGCTGTGGTTGCCTACCCCTGCTTTAATGGAAACCCCCCTAGCACTGTCTTAGGTCATACTGATCTGTGCATGCTACTGCAAGATCCCTGATGTGCAGTTAGCTGGGAGTTACACAGCCGCCACTGCAAAGTCTCCCAGTCGAGAAGCTTCTTCTTCTGCACATTTATTCCAATGGAGGGGCCATCTGCCATTGGGACACATAATACAAGTCCTCTCTATGGTACTGAATTAATATTTTTTTTTTTGCACACTTGTAAAATGAGGACAAGGCAGAGAGCTGCCGTGACCAGGTCCAGGTCTTCCATTGACTGCATTGAACTACATCTAGCCTATTGTCTTATTTGTCTTCCAGCTGGAAAATAGGGGCTAGGTCCAGGTGATGTTATCAAGAGCCATATTATCACAAACAACTTCAGTCCCATACAGGCCAGTAATCACATAAAAGTGCAATATCCAGCAAGTAAACTAAACTAGAAGAGACAAGCCATTGCATCATGGAGATATTCACTATTAGTCCCCTGAGATAGCAGTAGGCTGTGCAGTGGCTTGAGGTCAGCACACACTCAGCCTTTTAAAGCGGAACTAGATTGTGGTGTGTGTGGCTGAGCACACAATTCTTGCACACTTACCTCTCTGTGTCTCCTCCTCTAGCAATGACAGGTGACCACTGGTTACATAAATCCTGCACATTTGCTAAGAGTTACATCGCCCGGGACACCTTGCTCTATTCTTAATGTAGGGAACTGTTCTTTTATACGCCTTCTGTGGTTTTGTTTACATTAATGTTTAGCCACTAGCATCGAGTTCTGTTACATATTCTTCCTTTTCATAGTCTGTGCTTCCTGTCTCCCTGCTAAAAGGTTAGGAGACCACACAATAAATATATATATATAAATATATATATATATTTCTTCAAGTGAAACCCGAACACTCTAGAATGAGAATGAGTTGTGGGTTATTTACATGTAAATACCTACCCATTCATATGTAAATATCACAATTGAGACTATTTTTCAGTGGCGGGGCCAGTAGCCCCCATCTTAATTTTGGTTGCCCCTGTCTGTCTGACATCTTGTGTCTGGGTTTCTGCTGCCATGAAACCCAGACACAGCATTCAAAACTCGGACTGTCCGGGTGAATCCTGGTCAGGTGGCAATCCTACTCCTGTCAGAGGTATCTCTGATTCAGTATCATTGAGCTATTTGCATACTGCAAGATAATTGTGGTTTCTCAGATGTATGAGAGTTAAGCTCACCTGACTAGGTCTTATCAGGTGAATCTTCTGTTGTTGCAGTGCACACTTGGGGTTTATTATTTAAAGGAACAGTGCCCTTTTTGGTTTGGAATTATTTAGCTAGTGTTAGCTTAGAGAACAGTAAACATTATAGGGTAGAGGTAGCTTAGGCATCCGACGGCCACTTAGACAGTTAGAGGCCCGGTTGCATTGATAGCCTAGAAATAGGACGGACCAAGAGATAGGATAGACAGGTCTGTTTTGTTTTATAGGTAACACATTACAGATTACCTCCTCAAGAAGTGTATTCGTCTGCTGCCGCTCCAGCATTGCGTCTTCTCAAGCCGGATTGGACTCCGCCGTAAATATAATCTCACCAGGGGCCCCACTGCAACTGGACTTTGCTGCAATTCATAGTTGAAGGTATCTGTGCAAAGTGACAATATATTTATAGCCGGCTATAGGTGCACCATTCTTATAGGACATATGAACATTTTATTTGTCACTCCTGAATGTTGGTGCTTGGATTGTATGTAACATTATCTGTTTATTCTATATAAAGTTTGCATTGTTTACATAGTGATGCGCCCACATATATTTCTGGTAGAAATCTATGTTGGGAGCAGTAGTACTTTTGCTTTGAGTTATATTGTGTAAGTTACTAGTCAATTTCCTAGGAAGGGAGCATCTCCTCATATGCAGGAGCCCTGTTCTAGGTGGAGGCACTGCCAAATTTATTGTCAAAACCCATCCTTCCATTATGCGAAGGCTCTGGCTCACATAGTTACCTGCAGATTAGTGCAGTAACCTATTTAGAGAGGGCAGTTTCATTTAAACCCCCTTCTCAAAAAAAGAAAACAGGGCCACATTAGCATGCTGATATGTACATTCCATGGTGCATGTGCTGTGCAGTGTCCATAGCATGGAAACAACTGCTAGAAAGTGTGAAAAGGAAAGTTTTTTTTTGGTAAAAGAGACTTTGCCAGAAAACTAACTACTACAAATGTATTTACAGCAAAACATTAGTTCAGCTTTAATATTGCTGTCATTTTTGCCAGAAAACTAACTACTACAAATGTATTTACAGCAAAACATTAGTTCAGCTTTAATATTGCTGTCATTTTTGCATTCTGGGCAGCCATACAGGGGGTGGTTGGATCACAATAGCATAGACATTAAATGTGTTTGTCAAGAAAAATAGTTGCTACAAACAGCATATTCCGTTGGCATGTGTATTAAACTGTTTTCCTTAAAAGACAGTTATGACAGAAAATATTAATTATGTGTTATTAAGGTCTGGTTCACACAGTTGTGCTGCGGTAATGCACGTTACATGTGTAGGCAGCATACTAAAGAGTCGGACTGCTGCACTTAAACCGAGTGCAGCACTCCCAGTCTCCACTGGTGCAACACACCCCATCCTTACTACTCCAGTCAGCAACACTTATGCTTCCTGAGCAGCATTGTTGGTTGGAGTACCGAGGAGGACGCGTGTTAGACTGCTGGAGGCACAGGCTGTTTGTTAGAGTAGCGGTCCGGCTTCGTGAACAACTTAGGACACCAACACATCAGACATCCCAACTCTCCCGAATGCTCCGGGAGTCATCCGCTATTAGATAGTGGCTCCCGACCCCCTTTCAGAGAAACATTTTCTCCTGGAAAGGTCTAGCAGAGTAAACCTTACCCTGCTGTCTGGTTTTTTTTTTTTCTGAAATTGGGGGCCGCCGTCAGTCAGAGGAAAAAAAACGGCATAGGAATGCATAGCTAGATTGCTATTGGCTATTTCACTTTGCAATAGCCAATAGCAGACTAGCTATTGCACCTGCCCACTGCTGCTGTCAATCAGCAGAGGGGACCCTGAAGTTCTCCATCCGGTCCTCTCCTAGTGATTGACAGCAGCAGAGGGTGGGTGCAATAGCCAGCTTGCTATTGGATATTGCAAATTGAAATAGAAGTAGAACATGCACTACTTGTTTTCAGCGAAACGTAACGCAACCGATCTGGTCCGAACTAGCCCCATTCACACCCATTCATTTTTTTCCGCGCCCTTCCATTAGCAAATTGGAAGGTACAATTGCAAGTCAACTGACACTCCTTTTCCTTCCCATTTTTGGTGTGAATGCACCCTAACAGTGTTTCTCATTTGCTGACAAGTATATACTGTATTTCCTATGAGGAGCTTTAGCTCCATCTAGAGGCCATAATAAGGTATTATCCCCATTCACTCTGTTACATGTGAATACACATATTGAATTACATTTGACCAGAAGAGAAATGACAAAGAACATTTTTTCCCCATTCTCACAAAGTTGGTTAACTCGAATTTATATTTGTTGGAGGAATAAGCTTTGC